CTTTTAATCCAGAATCAATAACAAATTTCATTTAAAAATAAATTAAACTAGGCATTGGAAATCATTCACTGTGTGGGCTGGGGCCCTATATAGAACAGTCTAAACGGCTTCCTTTCGCTCATCTATCAATGCCAAGAGGGGGAAAAAAACCAAGCAGGCTGATTCATGGGAAAACTACTTAAATGTATCAGCTTCTAACAATGAGCAATGTAAGCCTATAGATAGACCTTTTAACACACCAATAACATGTGGAGCAACTGCTCCCTAACAGCTTATCGCAGTCGGGAGACGGAGGGGTCACTAGCTGAAACAGAGACTATTCATAAGTGGAAACAATTGCTTTAGTATGTAGCTACCTAATTTCAGGAAATGCATTACCCAGCCTGAGGTGAGCTATGGAATTCTATTAAAGTCTTATCTGCACTATAAGGGTATTAAGCTGGTGTTGGAAAAGCCTAAAGAGACTATGTAGACATTGTGGTTTGGCACAGAGACCTCCCTCTTCAGGGACCTGGGGTTAGGGTGGGAAACCCCAGAACATTTTGATATCTAGCATACGGAGGTGTTTCATCAAAAAGAACTTGGGGGAGGAAAATTGGGGGAAACAGGAATCTCAGGGCACCAGATGTGGGAAAACATGTGTGCTAATAGCATGTCAGTTCCCAGCGATTAGGTTTACATCAGTAAATAAAACTTAGCAATAAAGCATGCTGGCTGAATCTCCCACAGCACTGGCTTTTACAGCCTGAGTGTATTTCATTCATTGTAACAGGAGACACGGGTGTTTGAGAATCTCCATTTTCCCCTTTAATTAAATTTCATAAATTATCACCCAGCATTTGTATAAAATGAAGGACTTACAGCTACCTCTAATCACCGTTACTGCTCTGGCCATGGACTCCCTAGTGCTATTGTAAAGAACCCACTGATTAAAAGTTACCCTGTGTTGGAGAACCCCCAGGAAAAAAAGGTCAGCTCTGGTTAGAAATTCAGGCCAAGGAAACTATCCATGTGCTGAAGTGGAACAAGACCTGGATTGAGTTCTGGCCCTGGCTTTGTCCTTAGATGGTACCCATGCTGCTGCAGTGTAGATAATCTGAACTTCTCTTCATCCTATTCTTGTCCTGCCCTCTCCTAACTCTATTTCTTTGTTCAAGCCATCCCCACATGCTAGGAGTAGACTTCCCTGCTTCACCATCACTGTCTTTGGAAGTTCCTCTGCTCATTCAAGGCCTATGAGCATCTTTCGAACGCCATTTCTATGAAGCCTTCCCTGAAATCTCTTCCAGATGAAAGTGATCTCTCCTTGTTTTTAATCATACAAGGGATAGCCAGACGAGCCGGGATAGAGGTGATCACAAAAGATAAAGTCGATCATATAAATTATGTGAAGTTGAAAAGCTTTTTCATAAACAAAATCAATGTGGCCAGGATGAGAAGAGGACCTATTGATTTAAAAAAGTTAGTCAAATATCCAGATAAGGATTTGATAGCCAAAACATGTAGGGAATTAACACAAATCAATAAGGCCAAGAACCATTCCTCAGTGAATAAGGTGTCAAAGGACATGAACAAACAGTTCTCAAAAGAATAATTACACACTATTATTAACAACCATATGAAAGATGGTTCCAGACCACTAATGAGACAAATCCAAATATAAACAACTTTGAGGTTTCACCCCACCACCAGTAAATGGCAAAAGAGGAAAATAGTCAATGTTGGAGGTACTGCTAGAAGACAGGCAGACTAATGCGCTGTGGGTGGTTCTTTGAGTTGGTTCAGCCACTCTGGAAAGCATCCTTGAAAAAGTAAGTTCTCTGGGTCAAAGGGTATCAACATTTTAATCACTTTGCTAGTTCATTGGGTCATACAGCAAGTAAATGTCTGAGGCAGGATTTGAACTCAGATCTTATTGACTATATTCAACACCCTATCCTAGCAGTGTTGTTAAAAGGGATGTGAGATAGATTTGGACATCTAGGTCCTAGATTTTTTTTTAGGTTCACTAAAGTTATTTTAAAAATCATAAAACATTTTTTACAAAATAGCATTATATTCTGCACACTGCTCTGAATGGATGCCAGGGACACGTGGACTATTGATACTCTTTCTTCCTTGTCCCACTCCCCCCCAAAAATTACAGTGTAGGTACTAGATTTTTAAAAGTCCTAGATCTGAAGATAGAAGAGATCTTGGAGGCCATCTACCCCAACCCTCTTATCTTACAGATGAGGAACTGAGACCCAGAGAATTAGATTGTCCAAGGTTATATAGGAAGAAAGAGGCAGAACTCAGATGTAAAAAGTAAAATCTATCAATTTAAAAAAAAAAGAAATAAAGTGATCTCTTACTTCTCATAGCACTTTGATAAGACCTCTCCTTTACACTTGTCAAACTGTCCCTTACAATAGATTCGATTTGATAAAAATGTGTTAGGCCCCTACTATGCACATGTTGCTGGGAATATGAAAATAAAAACAAATCAGTTCCCGTCCTGAGGGAACTTATATCCAACTGGGAAGACACACCATTTACAGAAATGAGTGAATAGAAAATATATCCAAAGTCCTAAAGTAATTTCAAAATGGAAAGAATTCTACCCCTGGTTGGGGAGGGGTGTCAAGAAAGGTCTTGTATAGGAAACAGCACCCTCAGTAAACATTTATTAAACTCTTACTATGTGCCAGACGCTAACTTAAGGAGATACAAATACAAAAAAAGAAAAAAGATTCCCAGCCTTCAGGGAGCTTACAATCTAATGGGGAAGATAAAACAAAAAAGAAGTGGAGAATTTGAGACTGGATCGGGGAAGGTACCCAATATGGGGGCATGTGAGGTGGATAAGGCAGTCAGAGAAGTCCCAAATAATGACACCATGTAAGAAACAAGCACCTGAGTTGTGTTTTGAAGGGAAGCTTGGTTTTCTACCAGTCAATCTTCAAACATTTGTTAAGTACCTACTGTGTGTCAGGCACTGCACTACGCAGTTGGGATACAGATAACATGAATGAAAAAGCCCCTCTTCTCAAGGAATTTATATTCTGTATAGAGAGAAGAGATGTGCATGTAAATGTGTGTACTCCATTAAGTACAAGGTAATTGGGAAGGAGGCATCAGCATCTGAGAGATTAGGGAAAAACTTACGGGGGAGGTAGTGTTCGAGCCAACCTTTGAAGGAAGCTATGGATTCTAAGAGGCAGGGGGAGGAGGTTGGGGAGGGGGTTCCCGGCTCGAGAGGCAGTGGTGAGGATAGCCTGTGCAAAGCTATAGAGATGGGACATGAGATATCATATGTGATGAACAGCAAGAAAACCAGATTGGCTGAACCACAGAGTATGTGAAAGGGATTACTATGGAATATGGCTGGAAAGACAAGTAGGAATCAGGTTGGGAAGGGTTTAAAGTGCCATAGAAAGGATTTTGGTTTTGACCCCAGAAGTCATAGGGAACCACTGGGGTTTATTGAATAGGGGAATGATGTGATAAGGCTCCTGCTTTAGGAAAATCACTTTGGCAGCTGTGCAGAGGAGGGTTTGAAGAGGAGAGATTTGAATTAGGGAGACCCAATTAGGAGGCTATTGCCATAGTCCAGGCAAGAGGTGCCTGAACTAAGGCGGTAACTATGTGGACAGCGTAAAAGGCACATATGCGAGAAACATCATGAAGGGTAGAGTGATAAGACCTAGAAACTGATTACAAGTGTGGGTTTAGGGAGAATGAGAATTTGAGAATTACTCCAGCGCTTCCAATGTGGGTGACTGGAAGGGTTACTATACCCTCGACAAAAATAGGGAAGTTTCAGAAGATTGGTGGGTTTGGGAGAAAAGATAATTAGTTTTATTTTAGAGATATTGAGTTTGATCTGACTACAGAACATTTTGTTAGAAATGACCAATCAGCAATTGGTGATGCAGATATGGAACTCAAGACTGAGCCTAGGGCTGGGTATATGAATCTGGGAATCACAGATGATATGATTGACATAGATGGTACTGGTAGATTTTTGTATATTGATATATTGTCATATCATCTATTGGCATAGATGATAATTAAAATCATAGGAGATGATGAGGTCATCAAGAGAGAGAGTCACAGAGAGAAAATTCTGTGGAGGCGAGAAAGAAGTGCATTCCAGAGTATAGACAAGAGGAACCAGACAGTAGGCCATCTTTATTAGAGTGGAGAGTACACAAAGGATGATAATATAAACCAAGACTGGGAAAAAGGAGGTAAGAAAGGAGATGAGACTACAGAGGAAATTAAATGTTAGGGCAAAAATTTGTATTTTCTCCAGAGGCAATGAGGAGTCATTGAAAGATTTGGGGAAGAGGCATGACATGGTCAGATCTGTGTCTTACAGATATTAATGTGTTAGCTGTGTGGAAGATGGATTAGAAAGGGGACACACAAGCAGCAAGGAAGCAAATTGGAAAGCTATTGGAACAGGGAGGGAGGTAATAAGTATTTATTAAGCACCTACCTTGTGCCAGGTACTTTACTAAGGACTTTACAAATATTTATCTCATTTGATCCTCACAACAACACTGGGCGGAGGGTGCTATTGTTATCTCCATTTTACAGATGAGGAAATTGAGGGAGACAGGCAGTTGAGTGACTTACCCAGGGTCACATGGCTAGTAAGTATCTTTGGCTAAATTTGAACTCAAATCTTCCTGACTCTAGGCCCAGCATTTTATACACCGCACCCCCAGCTGCCTTACATCCAGGAAATAGTCCAGGGGAGAGGGGACAAAGGCCTGAGTTGGGCAGAGATTATGAGAGAGGAAAGAAGGGGACAGATGTGGGGGATGTGGAAGTAGAATCATCTAGACATGGCAATTGATTGAACACCTGCTTTTTCCACTCAGACTGTAAGTTCCCTAAGAGCAGGCCCCATATCTCCTCTATTTGGTGTCCCCAGCCCCAGACTCAGGGCCTTGCATTTTGTAGGAAGTTGGTAAATGGTTACTGAACTGAACTGAATTGATGATTTCTAGCACTACTGGGCCTGAAGTCAGCAGCTGAGTGAGTCGATGGGAAAGGAGACAATTCTCTGTCCTCATCTGGATGACTTCAGCTCCTCCAGCTCAGAGGAACCCGTTCCAGGCAGCTGCTCCCCTGATTCAGATGGAAGCCCCTGGATCAAGCTCTGCAAACAAATCGAGACATGTGCATGTTTCCCCCCTATTGTAGCAGCAAGAAACGTAATGAAAATTTCTGTCAGAGGCAATTAGTTACATTCGAGAGGCGGGACATCTCTGACTTCAGCAAATGCGTAATGGTGAGACCTTCACCCTCTGTGCAGGGCATTTATTGAACACAATGGGATGGTGTGATCTATACCAATTATGGGGCTCTGCTAGTCAGCAGCATTTTTTAAAATCCTGAGATGACTTTAATGGCACGGTTAATACCAGTCTAAATACCTAATGCTTTGTGAGTAATTAGTTAGATACCTCTATGGGAAAAATTACGGTTAGTAGATGGATCCTAGTACAGCGGAAAGAACTCTGGACTAGGAGTCAAGAGACCTGAGTTCAGATCCTGCCTCTAGAGCACTTATCAGCTGTATGACCCTGGGGAGATCTCTGAGTCTCAGTTTCTTCATCATAAAATGAGGATAAGAACACTCACACTACCTACCTCACAGGATTGTTGAAAGGAACAAATTCTGTAAATCTATTTCTAGCTATTTTCAGCACTGCCACTTACCAGTGTGCAGTCTTGGGCACCACATGGGGGCATCAGTTTCCTCTACTATAAGATGAAGATGTTGGCAATGGCAAAGATTGCCATGGGAGGAAGTGGAAACGAAGCTGGAGGAGCTGCGGGAATATAAATGTACCTTTTGGTGCATTGCTGATCCAGTAGTTGTTTTGGAAAACAGTTTGGAAAAATTCAACTAATTGTTCAAAACCTTTTACCCACTTCCCAGTCCTGGGCATGTACCCCAGGGAGTTCAACAACAGACAGAAAGGTCCCATATCTTAAAAAATTCTTACAGCAGCATTCTCCACCACAAGAAGGACTAGAAACAAAAGGGGTGCTGATCAGGCGAGACAGTGTTCTCTAAACGTTTTTGATCATACACTCTCATCAGTAAAAAAAGTTTGTCCGTGCAATGCCCGACATGTTTATAAATTATGTACATATACTACTGTACAAACGTGTACATTGTAAAATGTAAAAAAATGGACATTTTATATGGATAAGATTATGAAATAAAAAGTTTACATTTTGAAAAGGATTTATTAATGACAAAAATTACTCTCATTAAAATATTATTAATAATGATAAGACATACAAAGACCCAAACATTTTAAAAGAATGAGAGAAAGATGAAATTAAAATATTTTAAAAGTGTTTATGTTGATGGTATAAAATCTTGCTATCACTAAAATAGTCTGAATATTTTGATCATTATTAGTAACATTTAATAATTAATAAAAATGAAAATGGAGCCAAGATGGTAGAGTAAAGGCAGAAACTCTTCTTAGCTCTCCCAAATTTCCCTCCAAACAGCTTTAAAATAACTCCTCAAAGTGAATTTTGGAGTGGCAGAAACAACCAAAGGACAGGGTAAAACAATTTTCTAGCCCAAGACAACTTAGAAGGTCAGCAGGAAAGGTCTGTTGCACTGGGCTAAGAGTGGAGTACAATCCACCATAGGCCAACAAGCCAGCAGCAGGCCTTGGGAGCAAACTGAATCAGCACCTGTGGTTTCCAGCCCACAGACGGTAAGGGGTTCAGACAACTGGCTGGCATTGTGTGCAGGACTCTATTGCATTGCCCATACGCAATTCTAGGTCTCGGTCTGAGGGTGAAGAAGAGCACTAGCACACTGGAGTGTGCACCTGCTGGGAAGCAAGGAGCCTGATCACATTTCCAGGATGGAAAAGAGTGCTTATAGTCACTCATGAACCAGAGCACAGGCCAGGAAAGCAGTGACTACACCTCTTCTTAGATCATGCCATCTTGGAAGAACTGAAAACTTTCAGACTAGTTATGAAAACAGCAGCACAAAGACAAAGAAGCTTGGGACAGCACCCCCTCTACTCCAGAAGCAGAGCCCAACTTTAACATAAAGTTAAAAGTTGAGAAATAGGCTGGAAAATGAGCAAACAACAACAAAAAAGAACACAACCATAGAAAATTACTATGGTAACAGAGGATCAAAACAGAAACTCAGAAGACAACGATGTCAAAACATCTACATGCAAAGCCTCAAAAAAAAAAACTTGAATTGGTCTCAGGCTTAAAAAGAATTCCTGGAAGAGCTCAAAAAGGATTTGAAAAATAAAATAGGACAGGTAGAGGGAAAATTGGAAAAAGAAACAAGAGGGATACAAGAAAATGATGAAAGAAGAGTCAACAACTTGGACAAGGAAGCACAAATGCTGAAGAAAACAAGATCTAAAAAACCAGAATAGATCAAATGGTAAAAGAAGTACAAAAATCCACTGAAGAGAAAAACTCCTTAAAAAGCAAAATTGGCCAAGTTGGGGGGGGGGGGTGAAATGTACAAAAATTCACTGAAGAAAAGAACTCCTTAAAAAGTAGAATTGGCCAAATGGAAAAGGAAGTACAAAAGCTCAGAAAAATTCCTTAAAAATTAGAATGGGGAAGTAGAGGCTCTTCATGAGAAATCAAGAAACAATCAAACAAAATAAAATGAATGAAAAGATAGAAGAAATTGTGAAATAACTCATTGGAAAAAAAATTGACATGGAAAATAGTTTTTGGAGAGATGATTTAAGAATTATTATATTACCTGAAACCATGATCAAAAAAAGAGAGTAGACATCATCTTTCAAGAAATTATTAAGGAAAATTGCCTTGATATCCTAGAATCAGAGGGTAGAATAGAGATTGAAAGAAACCACCAATCACCTCCTGAAAGAACTCCCCAAATAAAAACTCCCAGGAATATTATAGCCAAATTCCAGTATTCCTAGATCAAGGAGAAAGTGTTGCAAGCATCCAGAAAGAAACAATTCAAATATCATGAAGCTACAGTCAGAATAACACAAGATTTAGTAGCTTCTACATTAAAAGATCAAAGGGCTTGGGATATGATATTCTGGAGTGCAAAGGAAGTAGGATTACAACCAAGAATCACCTACCCAGCAAAACCGAGTATAAACCTTCAGGGCAAAAGTGGATATTTAATGAAATAGAGGGCTTTCAAGACTTCCTGATGAAAAGACCAGAGCTGAATAGAAAATTTGACTTTCAAATACTAGACTCAAGAGAAGCATAAAAAGGTAAACAGGAAAGATAAATCATGAAGGACTCAATAAAGTTAAACTATTTACATTCCTACATGGGAAGATGACACTTGTAACTTCTACGAACTTTCTCATTTTTAGGGCAGTTAGAATCAATATACATAGACAGAGGGGATGGTTGTGAATTTACTATAATGGGATGATATCTTTAAAAATAAAATTAAGAGGAATCCACTGGGAAAACAGGGAAGCTGGAAATAGAATGAAGTAAATTATCTCACATAAAAGAAGTGCAAAAGAGTTTTTACAGTGAAAGGGAAGAATGCTTGAAACTTAGTGTCATTGGAATTGGCTCAAAGAGGGACTACCATACACAATGACTTAGGCACAGAGATCTATCATACCCTAAAGAGAAGTAGGAAGTGAAGGGGATAAGAGAAGGGGGGCTGATAGAAGGGAAGGTGGATTGGGAGAGACAATGGTCAGAAGCAAAACATTTTTCAGGAGGAACAAGATGAAAGGAGAGAGAGAGAAGGATAAACAGGGGAAAATAGGATGGAGGGAAATATACAGTTAGTAATTGTAAGTGGAAAAAATAAGTTTATCTGATAAAGGACTCATTTCTCAAATATACAGAGAATTAAGTCAAAGTTATAAGAATACAAGTCATTCCCCAACTGATAATTGGTCAAAGGATATGAATAGGCAGTTTTCAGATGAAGAAATCAAAGTTATCTTTGGTCACAAGAAAAAATGGTTTAAATCAGCATTGACTAGAGAAATGCACATTTAAACAACTCTGAGGTACCACTTCACATCTATAAGATTGACTAATATGATTAAAAAAAAAGGAACATGACAAATGTTGTGAGGGGGGAATGTGGGAAAATTGGGACACTAAAGCACTGTTGTTGGAGTTGTGAACTGATCCAACCATTCTGGAGGGCAATTTGGAACTATGCCCTTTGACCCAGAAATACCACTACTAGGTCTGTATCCCCAAAGAGATTTTTTTTTTAAAAAAGGAAAAGGACCTATATTTATAGCAGCTTTTTGTGGTGACAAAGAAGTAAAAACTAAGGAGATTCCCATCAATTGGGGAATGACCGAACAGGCTGTGGTATATAATTGTGATGGAATGCTATTGTGCTATAAGAAATGACAGGCAGGATGCTTTCAGAAAAACCTGGAAAGACTTACATGAACTGATGCAAAGTGAAGTGAGCAGAACCCAAAGAACTTCGTACACAGTAAGAGCAATATTGATCAACTGTGAATGACTTAGCTGTCTTCAGCAATACAGTGATCCAAGACAATTCCAAAGAACTTATGATGAAAGATGTTGTCCACCTCCAGAGACAGAACTGATAGAGTCTGAAGGCAGATTAAAGCATATTTTTAACTTTATTTTTCTTGTATTTTCTTTTTTGGGGGTATCTGTTTTCTTTCACAACTTAACTAATATGGAAATAGATTTTGCATGACTGCACATGTATAACCTATATCCCCATTTTACAGATGAAGGAACTGAGGCACAGAGAAGTTAAATGACTTGCTCAGGGTTACACAGTTAGCAAGTCCCTGAGACAGGATTTGAACCTAGGTCCTCCTGTGCTGTATCTGCTGTGCCACTTAAGTAAACATATATTGAGGATACATGACCAAAACATTTGCTAATAGGGATGTATGATCAAAATGTTTTATTACTACTGCCCAATTTGTTTCCAGTTTTTGCTCCACAAAGAATTTAGCTCTTATCGTCTCTTACTTAATGCCATTCTAATTAAAATCCCTAAGTCGAGTAGCTCCCCATCTCTAAACCATATTCCACTCAGCTGCCAAAATGATTTTCCTAAAACACAGGGTAGGACAGTGTCATACAATGTCAATGCACTCCTATTACCTGTAAGGTCAAAGATAAATCCTGTTTGGCATTTAAAGCCCCTCACAAACTGATTCCAACTCATCTCTCCAGTCATATTATATGTTCAAAACTTTTTTAGTGAAGGCAATGTAATTAGATATGCATCGTAATTTTTTTTTTTAATGCTTG